GTTCATTAATTAATCAAATCGTTGAATATTCAAATGTTTAACATAGGTAACTGCCACCGCTAATAACAATATCTAATTTATACTGATACGCACGTTATTGCCTACCTTTTTCGGTGACAAAATACAACGTCATCTCCCTTATTTACTTTGAGAAAAAAGGAGACATCGATGGTACTTGTCAGAGTGATGTGATGACATGATGAGCGGCTGAATTTAATTCCGAAGGTAGATCATAGATACGGTAAATTATTCTATTCGGGGTGGCCATCAAAAACTCAAATTACAGTACCAAGTCAAAAAAATGTCAAATGTTACCAACACTCAAAATTATAATTTGATAGTAACTTTAATCGTTTAAAAATTAATAATCACTTCGGGCCGTTGTACAGATTTTTCAATGGAAACTCACGGTTAGAATCAATACTTAATTACCGTGGCAAACTAGAACATACTAAATTGCATCTGATTATTTAAATTAGCAAGCAATTGATATGTATTATGCAATTTGCTTTAAATTAATTTAAAATGAAATTGCTATAGGTATAACTTAATATATTGTAAGAGCGCACTCGATGCCAGTGTGTCAACAGCTTCAACGCTACCACAATATTAGAACTGATTTTCTCCATATTGAATTTATTTGGGGGTCTATTCTGTACGTGTTCGATACAAAATTGAGTGTTTTGTTCAATACTGAAGTGACTATATCGCCCCATGAGTCTTCAAACTAACAAAAACTTATTTATCTAACTTTTATCTTACACAAATGTCGGCCAACTTAAACAATGTTTTCAAGTTGCAAGTTAACTTAGGGAAAACGGAATTAAAATTTGCAACATGTGTTTTTTTAATATAATAAAGCATTTTATCCTATAAGGTACATAAATTCGATTGTATTTTTTCTATATCGAAGATTTGTTAAAACGAATGTGATATTTCGTAAAATATCGCACGAATTTAGAATACCCCACCACTACAGATCACAGACACTCGAGTCGACTATGAGTTGGGTTAATTTGCACTTAGCGGCGTGCGCGCGACGTGAGCAGATTAAAGCGCGCCATCAAACGCGATCATATACTATTATTGACGAACGTATCAAATGATCTACTTTAGTCTATGACGAGGAATCATCTGCATTTAAAAGGTTAAACGTCAATCTTACTTCTTACTAATATTATAAACGCGAAAGTTTAGATGGATGGATGGATGGATGGATGTTTGTTAGCGTTTGTAGCCTAAACGGCTGAACGGATCTCCATAAAATTTGGCACAGGTTTAAAGCATAGTTTGGAAGAACCCATAGGCTACTTTTTATCCCGGGAATAGTTACGGTTCCCGTGGGAATCATTAATTTAGTTTTTTAATGTTCACTCGATCATTCTGCAACGGTTCAACATATCTTATTGAAATTTGGCACAGATATAATATAAAACAAAGTCTGGAGTACACATGAGATAAGCTTCTTCCCAGAGAAATGTCCGGTTCCCGAGGGATACGTAGCTTTTTGTAATTTATATAGTTCGTATGTTTACTAATACCACGCGGACGAAGTCGCGGGCAACAGCTAGTTATTCCATAAATAAATAACAATGATAATCTATACTTACTCATGTACTTATCTATATCTATATCTATACTAATATTATAAAGAAAAAAGATTTGTATTTTTGGCTTTTTGTATGTCGATTCACGCAAAAACTACTAGGCCAAATTTTAAAATTCCTTCACCATTAGAAAGGTAATTTATCTGTAAGTAACATAGGCTATATTTTTGTTATTTTTTAATTTCACGTGTGCGAAGTCGCGAGCAACAGCTATTCTATAAATATCTTGACATCAAATATGTTGCTAAAATTTATCTGTTTTTTGAGTAAAGGGTTATGGTTATGAGATACCGGAAACTCATATAAAACGCAAGGGTCTCATACAAAAATTTGACTACAGCTTCGATTTCTTCTAAAGAAATAAAAAAATTGACCTAAAATGCATCAACACATTACCTACGGTCGTAACCTTTAGCCCGCCACCTTGGTAGTTAACTCACTGATGAAATGGTTCACAAGGTCTTATAAATAATATTGTCACGCACAGTACCTTTTGTATTGATTTTCGAAGTACATAGACTCGTGCGCTCAATTGTTATGCAGATGTTGGTACAGGGATGCAAGGGGCATTCGCGAGGGCAGCACCCTTCCAGACAGGTATCGATTTTTGTAAACCCTGCTCACCCCCTGTATTTTGATGCTGTTATTATTAAATATAAACGTCGTCGGATATTGGTTGTGGTGTTTCGAATTTGAGAGTACGAATATTGTGCTTGCAACAAAAATTATAATGTTTTTGTGTTCATTTTTCTGCCTATCGGCGGTTAGAATGTTATTTGTTAAATGCAATATTATAAATGTTTACACGGATGGTTGGATGTACAGTTAGAGTTTGTAGCCAAAATGGCTAAACTGATCTTGATGAAATTTGGCATAGAATTTAGAGGATAGTCTGGAAGATCACGTAGGTTACTCACTTTTATTTTTTTAATTCCACGCGGACAGGAGTCGCGGGCGAAAGCTGGTATATAATATTATAGTATATTTAATCAAAACATCATACCTTTTTGACAATCAAGTAAAAAAGAATAGCTTAATATATTATTAATTCAAAACAAAATATCGTTTCAAGTCCGATGGTGGTTTATCCAACAAGAAACTAATTACAGAACTCAGACATTCATTACACAACTGAAAGGGTTTTGAAGGGGAAGCGTGAAACGTAATTTATGTGTCTGTGAAATTTCCTAGACTGGAAGTGGACTCAAAGGATCGGTAATGCAATAAAATGCAGACGACGGCAGAGACCGTAAACTTCATGTCTTATCTTGTGGGTTTCCACTGACCAAAGACTTGTTATAAAAACATACAAACGATATCACTCGCTTTGAAAAGAGATAATTAATGAATTTGTTTATTTATTCATCTTGTTGCGTCAAGGTTGAAATCTATAAATCATAGAATATTTATAAACCTTCCGAACATCCTGTATATCTAAGGATATTAGTATACTAGCCAAAAAGTACACTTTCTATTGTTATTTTTACTGCGTAATGATAATGTATTTTTGCAATTGTTATGTGTACTTTCTTTTATAATCGCTTGTGGCGTCAACGAAATAATTTATTTTAAAGTGTAATATAACATTTAATTTATACTACTATTAATTACTAGCTTTCGCCCGCGACTCCGTCCACGTAAAATTTAATAAAACAAATTGAGTAGCCTATGTGTTCTTCGAGACTATCCTCTACATCTATACCAAATTTAATCAAAATCCATTCAGGTTACAAACTCTAACAAACAACCACACATCCATCTAAGCTTTCGCATTTATAATATTAGTATGAAGTATGATTGTTGTAGCTACTAGTGGCTTATGTGATCGTCTGTGTAAAGCATAAAGTGAGGATTTTAATTATAAATGTCGAAAACAAACCGACTAACATGTTTGTTTACGTTGTGAAGGTTCGGGAAGTGGCTGTCGCGGCCACAGGTGTCGATCGATGCGTCGCGAC